TATGAAGCTCCCTCTTCATATCGACTATCACAGTAGGAGAGCATGCAGCTCCAGAACAAAACCCAACAAAGGTCTCTTGTCCACCAGTAGAGAAACAGCTGCACACTTCAAAATGATTAGATCTTTAGTCATCTTTCAAAAATAATCTTTATTATCATACAATGTATATATTTGTATATTCAGGACTGAATACAAAACATAGAGCCTCTGACTCTGGAGCTTCCCTAGTAGAGTCTGAAACTTCGACCCATACTTTGATACACCTTGGTGGGTCTTTGAAAACGTAGGGTATCTACCCATTTATAAACTTTAGCAATAAGCTGGTTTTCCAGAATGTATGGATATGTATGTATACAAACATTAAATGGGCCTATTTAGTATTTGACACATTCTCTTAAAATGTCATTTAAATCACTAGGACAATGACCTATCGAAAAAGTCACTGCTTATTTATTGCTTCGGCTACCTATATATCATTCCTCTTAGTGTAAAAGACTCCTTTAATCAGATTCTAGACTCAAGAGCTCTTCGTTCTTTATATTCAATCTTAGACCATCAATTGTCCATCTTTTAATTTCCATCAAAGATATAAAATCAAAACACATTTATTGAATGCCTGCAATAGGCAAGGCCTTAGTATAGGAGCTTTAGATGAAATAATGTATAGAATTCCATCTCTAAAGGGTTTATATATATATCAAGTGTACTGATGTAGACTTGAATTCTCATTGCTGAAGGGCTAATGGTTTCTTTCCCCTCCCGAAGAGCCAGCCTGATAGAATGTCTTGAGGAGTAATAGTTGAAGTCAAATGACTTTTTCATTTGACTATTGTTCTGAATTGGTCTCAACAGGCCTTCACTGCACATGCCCTGTGTGCACTCATCTGTCATGCTCATATCACTGTTTGGTAATTCAGGGTGGTCTTCCATGTCAGGAATCTAACCAACATTTTAAGTGAACTTGTCATTAATAGCAATTTTTTATTGGAACTGATTTTCTCTGAGAAGTTAAGCTTAAGCCAGGTAACAGAGGATAGAATGGAAATATATTGCTCTCTTTTAGAACTTCCAAATTTTTAGTGTCCAGCAATTAGTATTGCTGCTATGATGTATCTACTGAATAGTTTTCTTTGTGCTTTCTGAAAGTTCATTTTGTTCCATTTCCAGTTACACAAAGGCTGTGACTGCTGCCTCTGCCAAGTCTTGGATGGTAGCCTGACACGAGCATAAAACTTGACATCTCTCTTCTCGAAGACGGAAGGAAATCTATAAACGTGTCTTCCTTCTTCCATGTTTTATGGACACAGCTCATCGGAAAAATCTGCTTTTTAAGAAAGTAAATTTCATATTTGTTGCACTGTATTAATATGGATGCTTTTCTTCTCTGCTAAATGGGTTGAAATTTAATACTGGGAATTAGTCCAATTTAATCATTCAGCTAATGAAAGTTAAATTACTAAGACTGCAATTTCATCTGGGGAACATTAAGTTTTAGTCAATAAAACTTGTGTATGTTTAATGTCTAGTCCTCTTTCTAATTTACTTGTCTTATATTGAGCGTTGGTTGTAGCTAAGGGTTACCTCAACCCAGGTTAAGCACCGTTTCAGGAATATACACCCGCGCTGCGTAAAATGATGTTGCAAAGTGAGAAAGGAGCGAATAGAGTCAGAAGGTTGGCCGGGGTGTCTCGCCCTCCAGGTCCAGAAGGGGCAGGCAGTGGGAGGTTTCAGATGTGCTCTGATGAGCTGGAATCTGCCTCCCTCTAGCCTGAGAGCTGGGTGTGCAGTCATCCGGGAGCCGCTTCGTAGAGGGTCCGTGCCTGGGAAGAGCGCATCGGTCCCACGGCAGGAAACACAGCGTCCTTTGTTTGAGGGAAGCATTTTGTCACCCAGTGAAAGCAGGAAACGACCCAGTGTCCCACAGATATTACTTGCTATACACAAATGTACTAAAAACTCACTTCATTCTAAGGAGAATTCTGCTGAATTATAGGAACTATTTCTTTCTTTTTTTTTTCTTTCTCAATGGACTTACTGACGTGTCCCAAAGAAAGGAAAAAATAACCCACACTTGGATTCCGTAAACCTGACGAGGAGGAGTATATGTTGCCCTTCCTTAATCTTCCTACAACGTTAGTCTAAAAGGTTCTTTTGAGACAGGAAAACAGGCAAATTTTACAATCCCTTTTATATATAGTGAAGTCCCAAAGTGCTGGAGTTAGAATGTATATAGCCAAAACAAAGTGATCCTTGTGTTTTAGAAATCTTTAATAACCTAAACTATGGTGTGATTATCGCTTTTGTTTTTCCTATTATAACTAAGGCCTTGTCTGCCACACAAACCACCAGTGACCTCTTGGCCACTGTTCGACAAGCAGTCCCGTTAAAAAACCAGTTTGGCAACTTATTTTAACTAATGGATCCAACAAATGATGACACCTCACAATTTGTGAAAATAAGACATGGCCGGCTGGCTCACGCCTGTAATCCTAGCACTCTGGGTGGCCGAGGCGGGCGGATTGCTCGAGGTCAGGAGTTTGAAACCAGCCTGAGCAAGAGCGAGATCCTGTCTCTACTATAAATAGAAAGAAATTAATTGGCCAACTAATATATATAGAAAAAATTAGCCGGGCATGGTGGAGCATGCCTATAGTCCCAGCTACTTGGGAAGCTGAGGCAGGAGGATTGCTTGAGCCCAGGAGTTTGAGGTTGCTGTGAGCTAGGCTGATGCCACAGCACTCACTCTAGCTTGGGCAACAAAGTGAGACTCTGTCTCAAAAAAAAAAAAAAAATGTGGATCAGAGTAAGTCCTCCTACGTTGCCTCAAAACCAATGGCCCCATCTATGTAAGGGGTGCGCGCATGTGAGTGCCTGGAATGCTGTTCAAAACTGTTGGAGGGACAGTAAATCTTCAGTGACTGGAGATCAACCTTAGAACCCCCTGGGACACCTAAAGAAAGCCTGTTCCCAAAAAAGCAGGTGTGGGTGGGTTTGGGCAAGAGAGAGCAACTCTGAAGCAAAGACAACTTTCAACAAATGCATGCCAAGGTGTTAAAAGTTCTTGAAGGTGATCTCCAGTGAATTCCTGTGGGGAAGTAGTTGAGGCAGGCCCGTGAGATGTTATTTTTTCTCATGGAGCCAAGTCCCTTAGATAGGGGTCACCATCGAGGATAGGGAAGTTGATAGGAAATAGAATAAAAGAATATATAGAGACTGAGGTATAGTTTATAGTTTTATATAAAAAGATTAGATGTAACAGCAGGGTTATTTAGGAGACTGGACATATTTTTGTGAACGTTCAGTAATATGGTTAGATTTATATAGATTTTTATAATCATAGACATTAATTATCAGTTGTTAGGGTAACCCATTTATATATCAGGGAATGTAGTTGCTATGGGATAAGGTAGTGGGTTGGGGTCAAAAGTCCTCTTAAAGGGCTTTTAATCTATTTAGGTGAATAATAGGTGTAAAGTCTTTTAGGGGCTAACTTTTAAGAGGTAATTGTCAATTAACAGAGGTATAACAAAAGAAGTATAGTGACTTTATTTTTTTGGTAGTTATTGTGCACTTAAGGTAGACAGGAGAGAGCAGGAAGCCCATCTCTAATAAACAGGTTGTTTATAACCATCAGGGCGCATCTCTGGGCAAAGGGCATTTATTGTCTCCAGCTCCCATCCTGTGGGCCATGTTTGCCTTGTCTTGTCTTTCAAGACACAGGGAAGCTCACAGATTTTGAGATACTGGGAAGCCTTTTTGGAAAACATCCCCACTGGAGATTTGAGAGCTCTCCCATGATAGCAGCCTCTAATAAGTGAACCATTGAGTCCACACATTCCTTCAGGGCAAAACCCTGCAAACTCCTGTTTCTGTCTTTAATATAGTAATATAGGGCAATACAATAAAATAATGATGTTAGTAGCCACATTGCATTCATTTCTCAATCATATTTCTTAACAAATTCCTACTGGCTGGTGGACTCCATAACAGATTTACAAAAATATGTATTTTTATCCATTTAGGGCACCTACTTAGCACGGGTGAAGGAGTACAAGTTGAGAGTCATGGGCAAAGCTCCCTAAGGATGCAAGAAAGGATGCACAGGGGGGAGGGCTGGGAAGGGGACCAGGCCCGAGAGCGGCTACAAGCGAGTGAGGGTGCTGAGCTCCACGCATCCCAGCAGCCTTGCAAAGTGGTGGGACAAGAGTCCACAGGAACGGGTGACGAGGTGCTCACAGCATCAAGAAAGTTGTCTGAGGAAGTTCAGGCTTCTAGGGATCAGGGGGTGGAGCCGTGTGGTGTCAGCTGGGTACTACCTGGGCCACAGGGGAGCCATTTGTCAACCATCTTCCCGAGTCTCAATTTTCAAAACTAAGTCATTCAACAGGTGAGAATTTTAAAACATTTTCTCTTAAACAAACAGCACCCTAGAGTATAAAGCAAAATCCATACAAAATTTTAGGACAAGACACAAAACCAGAGTAAATACTATTTTTGCTCTGCTGGCCACTCTGTGCTCGCCCCTCCAGCCCTGGAGATGGAAAGGACTCTGTTTTGAACGCCAGGACCTGGCTTATGGCCTGGATATACGCAGGAGGTGGTGGATGGGGAAGACATCAGAACGGGCTAGGGGTCGGGGCTGCACAAACCGTTAGGAGAAAGGAGAATCCAGGGAGGTGGCAGCAGCAGTGGCAGCGGCCAGAGCTGGAGAACAGAGATGACAGGGGCAGGCTGGGAGTGGAGCAGCGGCAGACCTTCTGACATCAGGGACTAGACACTTAAGTGAGAGCAAGCCTGTCCCAGGGAGGAAGCCACCAGTACCTGACATCTCTCTGGAAGAGTTCGCAGCTGTCTGGGACCCTGCAGCGTGCAGGGGCGGGCACCCTAGTCCTCTGTCCCTCACCACTGGCACCTCGGCAAGGTCTCAGCAGCAGCATCCAAGGACGTCCTGGGTAGACTTATGGATTTATTTTCTTAAACAAATAAGCACTCAAATTAACTAGATTATGAGAGCTCCTCAAAAGCTTTTATTTACTTATTTTTTCTTTTCAACCAGAACATCACCTAGTTCACACTGCCAGGTAGGCATTCAAAACTTTTTTTTTTTTAATAGGCAATTTATAACACTGGGAGGATTTCATTTCAGTGTTTCAGATTATTCCTGGAAAGAGTATATTCCCCCTGTGACTCTGGATCATAGAAATTTTGTCCTAATTTTTTTATAAGCCACCTCAGACAGACACTGGAACCATTAGATAACAGTTAAGTGCTTTGGAAGAGCAGTAAAAAAATTCTCCTGAAATGCAAGAGTTGCCATAATTGCTGGGAAGACTGCGGCTTCTGCAGCTCAGGGTGGCTTCACAGTAGTCAGAGGACACAGAATGTCTCCTGTGTCCCACCCCAACCAGGGACCTCCAGGACAGCTCCCTTGGTTGATTCTTGCGAGTGTCCCTGAAGAGGGCACAGAGGGAGGGCCGTGAACTTCTCCGAACTGCCCAGGCCTCAGGGGCTGACCCAGTAGCAGCAGCTTAGCTACCGAGCATGGCATCCCCGAAGCGCCTCCTCCACCAGTCCCACCAGACAGGGGACCAGAATCAGGCATTCAGGGCCATCATCAAAGGAGTGGCCTCTCCTCTCCTTCCAACTGATTACCTGGTATTTGGTATGCAGTATACATGGACAAGAGTTTTTACAAATTAAGTTACTTTCTTAAAATTCAACAAAACATTATTACATACAATTCTCTTGGAGAAGTCTTTCCAATTGAATTCTTAAAATTAACTTTCAAAATATTGTGCAAAAACAAACACTGACTTCGAATAAATAGGGGAAAAAAGTGGGAAGAACTAAACAATTTTTGTTTTTAAATTAAAAGTTAAAAACACCACCTGCACATCAAAGTATCTGCAGGATGAAATGCATCAAGAAGGCTATTAACAACAGCCCTCAGGGGCAGAGTTGCATTTCCAAGTGAGGTTTTGTTCCATGTTCAAAATTCCCAATAGATGCCTCCGCTGAGATCCGTCACCAGTCCCTCTCTGACCAGCTTCAGGAGGAACTCTGTCTCCGTTGTCACATTATGCATGGTCTGCAAGTTCATGGCAGCCATGCACTGATTGTCAAAGTAGTGCAAAGGTGTTCTGCGTTGACTGAGATTATATCCAAAACCCACCAAGCTGACTTCATCACACAGATGTGTAGCTAACACCACAGCAATGATGCCAATGGTGGGGACGTTCTGATAAAGGGAAAAGACAAAAAAGAAAAGACAAGTCTTAGCACAATTCACTGCTTTGCAGGTATTGCACGTGCTATGCAGAGTCATAAAAGCTGCATTGCAGGCTGCAATTTTCTACATAATTTTATATAACATTTTAAAGTCTAACTCTCCATGCAAATCAGGAATCTAGACTCTAAAACATGGTCTGTGATGTGAATACTTTTAACACCCCTTCAAGGGGCAGCCTGACCATTCTTATGCCAAAGTTAAAAGATATTCTTTCTAAAATGTCTACCCACAGATGTCAAGAATGACAAAACAAGCCTATATCCTCTCTTGCACGACAAATGTCTACAAGGTCTGCTCTGGAATGCACAGCCACAGGACCTTCCACAGTCCTTCCCAGGGCACGGTTTCTGGAGCCCGTCCCTTCCTGGGAGCAGAGGGTCCCCAGGCCCCACTGCTGAAGACTGGCTCACCCTGCCTGCAGCTACACACCACTGAAGGGCCCCGTTTGATTTCTGGCAAATAACACTTCCAGGCCATTTTCACATGTACAGCTGCTGAGCCAGTTTCTCCCCACCGCCCCTCCTCATGTCTGGCATCTCACCATGCCTCCTGGAGTGTGCAAACCTGGCATCATGCTTTCGGGATGGATCTCCATCCTGGTCTTAGTAAAGACAGTACACAGGACGGGGGAATACAGCAAGCCCCGCAGCTCACCAGGCCTCTTCTGAAAGCTGCCCCGATCTACTAATTAATATTCTTTTGTATAGTGTTCCATGTGCAAATGTACCTCCTTTTCATTCCCCTTAGTTGAGCCTGTGGCTTCCCTAAATAACTCTCCTTGTCTGCAAATTGGGAAGACAGAGGACTCTCCAGATTTATGTGGGATTAGGGAACATCTACTGAACCCACTGTTCATTAAAATCTGCTTCCTGCTCCTTGGTGTGTGGCACCCACCTCTCAAGGCCGACCTCACGTGTTAGAAAGGAACTCAACAGCCATTCTGCATGTTTGGAAACAGAAACCAAGAGGAACGAACACAGAGGAAGCATTCCCCCTGTTCACCTGTAGGGATCTAAGGCCCTGTTCTGCCTTCTCCACCCTGCATCCCAGCGACCAGCCTGGCGCCCAGCACCAGGGAACACTCAAGCCGTGTCTGTGGAACGAGTGTGTGACATCAGCTGTTTGTAAGGGTGATGTGTGGAGAGGCCTCAAACAATAAAAGCTCCCCCAAAGCACGTTATCTCTACAATATGCTCCCTAAGATCACACCTTACTGTCCAACAGACTTCTCCCTCTGCTGGAAGGGCATATACACGAGGAAGAGTCTGATGCTGCGATTTTAAATAAGAAGTCTGCTTTTTAACACATTAATAAGCCGCCATGTGAATTGTATTTAATTCATGCTAGTTTTGCGCCCGAAGCCTCACGAGGCATATGTAACTCACAGGTCTCTTCACCTTGAGAGCCACGAGAACTATTTTTCAAGTTGCACAGAAAGCAATAAAAAAAAATTCATTTTTCACTAAATTAGAAAAGATCCTTTTTGCTTTCCAAGTTTTCATTCTATTTTTATAATAAAACACCGTGTCCCCAATGAAAAAAATGTTCTTTTCTCTAATGTGGCGGTCAATGTGTTAGGTTACTGTTTTTATCCAAAAGAAAAATGTCATTTTATGAATTTTAAAAATAAATATTCAATTCAAATAGAAATAAATGGACTGCAAAGTAGAAAGTAAAAGTTTTCTACAGACTTCCCCTCCAGAGAAGGGCATTATTCACAGTTTGGTATCTGTTTTCAAGCTTTTATATATACATACACACACACACATACTTTATTTTTAAACAAAAATGGAATCATATAAATGTTCTGTATCTTGATTTTCTTGCTTAGTATATTGTGGAGATGTTTTCATATCCATCACATTTTCTTCATCTTTAACAGTCAGACAATATTGCACTGACTATATCATAATTTGTTTAAACAATCTCATGATAAATATTTAGGCTGATTTTAGTCCTTTGCTATTAATGCTATGGTGAATATCCTAGAGTATCTGTCTTTGCAGATTTCTCTAATTTCCTTATAATAAGTTTTTATTTTTTTTATTTTTTTTTATTTTTTTTTTTTCTGGTCCACACAGCATGGTATTTCCTTATAATAAGTTTTTAGAGTAAACTTGCTGGGTTAGAGACTATTCACATTTAAAACTGATTTATATTGCCAAACTGTCTTCCAGAAAAAGGGCCAACTTATCCTGCCTACATTCCCACCAAACAAGGACATTATTAAACCTTTAAGTCTTTGCTAAGAAAGTGGGCAAAGATATCATTGTGGCTTTCATTTGATTATTGGTAAAGCTGAATATTTTGTCATGTATTCTTTGACTTTTTTTTTTCTTTTTTGAGACAGAGTCTCACTTTGTTGCCTAGGCTAGAGTGAGTGCTGTGGCATCAGCCTAGCTCACAGCAACCTCACACACTCCTGGGCTCAAGCAATCCTCCTGCCTCAGTCTCCCAAGTAGCTGGGATTCCAGGTATGCGCCACCATGCTCAGCTAATTTTTTTCTATATATATTAGTTGGCCAATTAATTTCTTTCTATTTATAGTAGAGATGGGGTCTTGCTCTTTCTCAGGCTAGTTTCGAACTCCTGACCTCGAGCAATTTGCCTGCCTCAGGCCCCCAGAGTGCTAGGATTACAGGCGTGAGCCACCACGCCTGGCCTCTTTGACTATTTTAATTCTTCCTTTGTGAAATGTCTGTTCATATCCTTTGTTCATTTTCTATTGGTTCATCTTTGTCTTTTTAATGAGAGCTCTGTGTATTTTGGGAGTGTTTACCCTCTCATATATGTGATAAATTTTGCTTAAGATTTCCACACAGCTCTTAAAAGTTTTAAAGACACAGATTGAGTTATTTAGATCATGAAGCCACAAGGCATGCCCACCCCACCCCCTGGTGGCAGCACATGCTAATTGCAGGTAAAGGGTCTCTACTGCAATGAACAGCATAGGGCACAAAGGTTCTTAAATTAGCCTGCAAAATAAAATCACCCAGGGAATTTTGAAAACCCTAAAGTACAATTAAATCAGAATGTCTGAGGTGGAACCCAAGGCATTAACTGAAAAGCACTGTTCTAGAGGGTTGACTTTATTTACTATCACCTATAAAGTGACGATAAAAATGAATTCTCACTTTAGCAGCCCACAGAGTTAAAACATAAAGAACTTTTCAGACTATTGAAGTGCCTTTCAGTATTCTGCAGTTTTGTGGAGTCCAGGAGTGAGAATACCTTAAATAATATCTCAGTGACTTAGGCATTAATGTGTTGACTATATTGAAGAGATGAGTCAGAAGAGCAGAAGGATAATTAAACCATGAAGAGCTCACAGTCAAGGTGCAGAGTGGTGAACATGCATTGGGTATTTAATCAATGGCTGGGTTTCTCCTCTAGACATAAGACCAAATGAAATTTGTACACATCTCCCCTTGAACATAGAAAAGAACAATTAACTTGAGTAGCAACAAAAATACCTTATCTTGGCCCCAGAACCTTGACTGAGGCTCTGAGTATTGAAGGATGTCAAAGGCAGTCTCTTTGATAATAACTGGATTCAAAATCCTGAAATGTTTTGGCTGTAGTGGGATCTTTTCTGCCACCTGCTTCCAAAAGAAGAATCTCATCCAAAATGGCTAAGGAAAGAAAGCAAGCAATCATTTGGGGTACTTAATAAAAAGTCATTCTTATCAACAGAGCAGGCATTTCCAGCTCATTAAGCCAAGGCCATGGGTGTCACCATAGTGGCCTTCTGTACTGCATTCTGCAGCAGAGTCATTAATATCTATGCAGATCCAGTACACCTCAACTCAAACAGTAACTCTGAAAGATCCAACTTACAAAGGACAAAGAGAGGAATCATAGAATCAACTCTTATCTGTTTGAGGTAGAAATTTCTCCTTTTTTAGTATTTAAAGCCATCATTTTGCCCAGGAAGGACCAAGCAAATAGGTCCAATTTGTGAGTATTAAGCACTGTGACTGACCCATCGGAAGGTGCCCTCACCCTGCATCCTCCCTCCACTTACTCTATATCCTAATCCCATGAGGTCTAGGCAACTGACTGTGAGTCACCTTATATGTGCTTCATCTTCCAGCTACAACTTCTGCCCAATAGAAAATCCAGAAGACCATGATAGCTGTATAGAATCAAGCTTTGAAGATACAAATTCACCATCACATCAAGCTTATGTTAAAAGTCTAATATGTCCTACTAGTCTCATGGAAAAGTCTAGTATGTCCTGCTAGTTTGTGCACATGTTCCTCGATAGTTGACCTCTGCAATTTATTTGAATATAATAGGCAGGACTATAAAGCAATGTGATTGATTATGGTAAAGACAAACAAAAGGAATATGGCCCAATGAGGGCCATCTCCTCCACACCTGCCCCTCTGGAGTGCTGTGAATTTATTCCAACAAGGGAACCTCAGACTGACCAAAGCATTTTTGGAGACTCTCTCTGAAAACATTCCTTAGCAATTTTACATATATATTCTTTTGAATATATTCAATAATCGTTTATATTCATCCAAGTAAACCTAATTTCTGGAACTAATCAAAAGCCATGCACGTTCACATCTGGAAAGGTGGGTGGTCACCCTCAGTAATAGCAATTTTGCTCCCAATCTTGACTATTCCCATTAAGTAATGATCACCATTTTCACTAAGTGAATTTTCACATACCATTTTCATTAAGTGTGACTCTTAATCAGGTTCTGATAGTAGTTTGCAGCAAGGTGTTCTGAGGGGTTTCTACAAAGACAGTGATTATCATTTGAAAGAGAGCACGAAGGTATGCACTCCATTGTGCGTGTTTAAAAATAAAAGTCTGCGATTACAACTAGAGACTCCATCACATTTTACTAAGGCACTTTTGATAGAAGAAAGTCTGGTGCTTACCAGGGTTTCATTTTTTATCATTGCTTGAAGCCAGTTGAAGTCAACACTTTTAAATAATACAGCAACAAACAAGTCATTGGAATAATACTCAAGGTCAGACAGTGGTGCACCCTCTGGGTAAGTCATCCTTATGGTCGTTTTATTTCCAACATGCTCCGAATATCCCTCAACAGGTGCATTATTTAACCTATTTAAACAAAACGGACAAAGACACATTGACAAAGCAAGCCGTCAACTACATCCCATGCCAAATCCTCCACATTCTCTTATGACTAGGAATGAAGCTGTGGTTGGGGGTAGGCCGTCCCTCCCAGCAGACTCATCTGCTCCTCACAGCTGTTTCTTCCAGGTGTTTGAGGAATGCAGCCTTCAGTTCTTGATTGAAAACCCATATCTAATTCCTAAATGTCAAGCAATTTCATCTGTCCTGATATTTTTAGCCAGTCCAAACAAATTACATTTTGGGCTTTCTCTGGGCACCAGTAAAGTCTCCTTGAAAATTTCCCATCGTGCTCAGATACTTGCTAGAATTTCAAAAAAGCCATCAGAAAGTAAAACCTAGGACCCAGGGTGAGGCAGATATAAACCTCAGTTCTGTGGGGTGGGGGTCCAAGGAGGACACTGGGCCCCAGGTGTGCCAGCTGGTCTAAAGCAAGGATTAGGGACTTATAACTGTTAGATCTATGAAGGCTTTACTAACGCACTTATGTTGGGGGAAATTCTATGAATTCTTCCAGAAGCAATAACATTCACCCAGTTATACAGTTTTGAAATCTCAAAAAAAATTTTTTTTAGGCTGGGCGCGGTGGCTCACGCCTGTAATCCTAGCACTCTGAGAGGCCGAGGCGGGCGGATTGCTCAAGGTCAGGAGTTCAAAACCAGCCTGAGCGAGACCCCGTCTCTACCAAAAAATAGAAAGAAATTAATTGGCCAACTAATATATATAATATAAAAATCAGCCGGGCATGGTGGCTCGTGCCTGTAGTCCCAGCTACTCGGGAGGCTGAGGCAGGAGGATGGCTTGAGCCCAGGAGTCTGAGGTTGCTGTGAGCGAGGCTGACGCCACGGCACTCACTCTAGCCTGGGCAAGAAAGCGAGACTCTGTCTCAAAAAAAAAAATAAAAAAAAAAATAAAAAAAAATTTTTTTTGGTTCTTCACCTGTAATATCTCACCTGCATCTAACCTTTCTTTTCTCTCTCACTGCCACTTCCTCTTCTAGATCTTAAACTCCTCACCCCGGGACTATTAAAAGATATTACTAGAAGGCTGCCCGGCTAGCTCAGTCGGTAAAGCATGAGACTCTTAAAAGATATTAGTAAATATGACAAGTAAATGCAAGGTATGATCTTAGACCAAATTTTTTTTTTCCTTTTTTCTTCTTTCTTTCTTCTCTTTTTTAAAATAAAGGACATCATTGGGATCACTGGTGAAATCTGAATAAGGTCTGTAGATAAAGCTTGTACTGTATGAACTTATTAATACTTATTAAAATTAATTTCCTAGTTCTAAATACTATTCTGGGGTTATATAATAGAATGTCTTTGTTCTTAGGAAATGCGTACTAAAGTATTTAGGAGTAACAGGGCTTGATATCTACAACTAACTCTCAAAGGTTCAGAATGGAATAATAGTATATATACAAGGAGAAAATTATAAAGCAAATGTGATGAAGTGTTATCAATCGGGGAGCCTGGGAGGAGGGTAGACGGGAGTTCTTTGTACTGTTTCTGCAACTTTTCTGTTAAAGTTTGGAATTGTTGTACACTTAAAAGTTACAGAAAGATAAAAAAAGCCTCTTAAACTGATCTTTCCTTCTCTAATCAGGCTCGAAGCCGCCGTTCCCTGTCCCAGTGACAGTAGCTTCCCAGTGCCTGCGTATGAAGCCGGCACTGCCCAGTCAGGCACCCACCATGCCTGGACATGGAGCCACCTTCTAGACCCTTCCGGCTCTCTCTGGGCCCCTCCTCCTCCTGCCCAGTGGGGCTTCCCACCCAGATCTCCCGTCTGCCTCTCCTCTGAAGTGCCAAGTCCCACCATTCTTGAGGCCAGCTCAGAGCCACCTGCCTCTTGCACTATTGGCACTGCTGGTTCTCACCTCTTCTCTTCCCTGCCCCGGTCACACACCATCTCCTGGGTGTGGGGCCCTGGCCCTGCCAAGCTGCACACAGGAGGGCATTTATTTGCTTGCATGGGCCCAGGGATGAGGTTCTGGAAGCCTCCAACCCCTGCATTTGGAATGCCAGCACCTGGCCTGGCCCCTGCATGCGCGGTGCCCTTGTGTCTTCATCTGTAACTCCGGCTGACCGTGGGAGCCTCACCCACTGGTTTATTTTGCGGAATGAGAACATCTAAAGTGCATGACACAGCCCTGGCACACAACAAGCGCCCAGTGAAAGCGGCTGTTTTACCCCCATCCCAATCTTCACGGCCCTCTTACTTCACACCATTCCTGCTCTCTTGTGGCCTGTGGCATCCCTTTTGCCTTCAAACTCAATTCCTACCTGTTTCTTCTATTGTTTGTCCCTTACGAAAGCCTGGTTCTTACCTAAAAATACCTTGCACACCTCAGTACCCTTCTCCTGAGCCCCCACCTTCCTAAACACTCTCCATAAATAGGTGCAAACACTTATGGAGCATCAAGTACGATCTAAGTATTTTACATGTTAACTCATTTTGTCCCTACAGGAAAGCACTACTACTGCTTCCATTTTACAGATGGGGAAACAGGCACAGAACAGTTAGGAAATTTGCCCCAAATCACAGCTACTGACTGAGGACAAAGGTACTATGTGAACACAGCATGACTTTTCAAAATGTCCAAAATGGATCCTGTCATCCTCCCTCACTAACCAGAGATTTTTCTCCACTCCTCCACAGTGAGACAGGATCTCACTATGTTACCCAGGCTGGTCTTGAACTCCTGGGCTCAAGAGACCTTCCCACCTTGACCTCCCAAAGTACTGGGATTGCAGGCGTGAGCACTGCACCGAGCCTCTCCACACCTCCATTTCTGACGGTGGTTCCACAAATGCTTTAGACTCCCAGACTACAAATCTTGGTGTCTCCTGACAAGAGTTGTAAAACTGTCCGTTAAGTCCTGTCAGTTGTAAAACTGTCAGTTAAGTCCTGTCACCTGCTTTTCCAATACACCTCTCAGATTCAATCTCTAGTCACTATTTCCACTTCCTGTGTCTCGCACCAGGCCCACACACTTCATGCCCTGACTACCACGGCCTCTAACCCCGGACTCCCCACTCCTATTCTCTCCTGCCTCCGGTCAAACCCACCACTGCTGCTGAACATTAAGAGCCTTCATGCTCCCAGCTCTGCACATCCTTAAGATTAAGGATTAATTAAGACAATTAGTTTGACATAATGTATCAAGGACCTGAAAAATATCCAAATATCTTGATGCCAACAATTCTACTTTAAGGAACTTCTCCATAGAAATAATCAAAGATGTACAAAAAGACAATGGCTGGATACTTTCCAGACAGCCCTTGATGTATAAAATGTGCAAAGCATTTTCATAATAGCAAAGAAAAATGGAAACATTCTATTAGTGTCCTGCAACAGAACTAAATACCTTACAAAATGCTCTTTAAGGAATATTAAGTACTCACTAAGGTTCGTTTTCCAAGTATATTTAATGACCTCAGAAAGTATGCATAGTATTAAGTTAAAAAAGCAAAATACCTTATAAAAATATAAATGCATTCGTAAGTATGTGTATAGAACAAAAGTGGAAGAAACACAGCCAATTCATAGTGGGTGGTTATTTGTGTTGAAAATGAGTGGTCGTTTTCTTCCTTATATTTTTCTGTTATTTTTCTTATCTTCAATAAGGAACATATTTTACTTTTATAATCAGAAAAACAAAATTTTAAATGGCTAAACCAAAAAGAATCTAGGACGATTTACTGCATGTCATAGCAAGTTCAGCCTCTTCTGTGTGATTTCTGTGTCCCAGCCGGCACCGCCTCCCGCAGCTCACCGGCCCCTGCCGGGAAGCCGGGCCTCCCACCAACTCCGTTCTCCTGCCGCGACCAGCTCCTTTGCTGGCTTACTCGGATCTACCCACCTTCCCAAGCTCACCTCCTCTGAAAAGGATCTGCCACTTACTGCCCTCCACGGCATGCTCCTCAAAGTTAAGGTCCAGTACGGCACATTTTGGGGCACCCAATCATTTTGTGTTTTTGTTTCAACTTCTCTAACAGTAAGTCCCTTGAGGGCAAGGACCATGGAGAGCGTCCTGTCTCCCTCACTGTCCCTGTGGCTGCCCTGACCAAGAGCAGTGCACTTAGCTCTAGAGGTGGAAGGTTGGTGTTAAGAGCATCGTACCTTATCACAACGTCGAACTGGTTCAGGGAGTGGCCCAGTCCTAGCCCGTGCAGTACTCCACCGCTCCCCACAACCACACAACGCCGGCAGCTCTTGGCCTTCAAGTGTTCAGGAAAGTCGTGCTCAGGCAACAGTTCCAAAAGGGTCTGGACTTTACTGGAGAACTTCCGGAATCCAAAAGGAGGATCATACTTGTCCTCGGCTTCACTTGCTTTGGGGGCCTTCTGCACAAAAGGCGGTAAGTCCGCGCTATACCTGTGCTTAAATAACAGCGCCATTGACGTCTCCGCAAACTTGGGCCGACATTCCTTTTGCAAGACTTGCTGAGCGTATTTCTGAGCTCTCTGGAATGAAATCACATCAACCTGAGTTAAAAAAAAAACTCCCCAACATTAAAAATACACTCTTAAAGGTGACATTTTATCCTATGATGTCTGCTGTAGCTCCTTTATTGAATACTATCTTTAACATAGAACATGTGCCTGTTACGGTTAATTTATGCTCAGAAACTTGAAGAAACAACCCAGGAGGACCACATGACAAGTAGATAAACTCAACAAGGGTACTTATTTCATTGTGCAAGTAAAGCAGGAAGGAACCCCACCTCCTACCCCTGGCCTAACATTGTTCAAATAAATTTGGGGTTAAAAATATACCCTGTGGTGTTTATGATTTCATGAACATGCTACACCATGGAACAACTCTGAGGACATTACGCTAAGTGAAATAAGCCAGTCACAAAAAGACAAACACTGTATCACTTCATTTACATGAGATATCTAAAGTGGTCAAATTCATAAAAACAGGAAGTAGATGGTGGTCACCAGGAACTGAGGGGGGGGAGGGGAGCTGTTGTTTAATGGGAACAGAGTTTTGGTCTTTCGTGATGAAACAGTTCTAGAAATTCGTTCTACAATGTAAATATACTTAACACTGCTGAACTGTAGATTTAAAAATAATTATGATGGTAAATTTCAGGTTATTTTTCCCCCCATAATAAAAAAAAGGTTTCATATTTCAGGATCCCATCTAGCAAGACGAGACTTGCGCTTATTTATCATTTGGGGTACTGAGCTTCATAATGTCTGGAATGCAAATTATCTTAAATGTAATCGGGGAACGACATCCTGTTAACAAGGAAACTGTGTTGGTTTGAAATGCATTTTCCCAGCATGTTAATGTTTTGCATCAGCAAGGAACTGCTGCTGAGTGCCAAGTAAGCTAGCCCAGTAGGGTCTGTTCTGTAAAATTTGGATTCAGTCAAAAGGCCGTGCTCAAGGATCCAGAAGGCCACATGTGACCCTGAGGCCACAGGTTTCTCACCCCTGTATGGTACCAGTGCCCATGTGCCCCACAATCTTCCTCTTGGCTCGGCTGGCCAAATGCTGCCTCAGAGCTACTGGTGGGGGAGTTGTCCCAAATCTTTGTGCTTTTTGTCCTTGTCTCCCTCCAGGCCTCACACCTCCTCCCTCCCAGGCATCTTCTTGCATGTGTATGTGTGAGTGTATGTGTGTATGTGAAGTCCTATATTTACTGGGATATTTATTTTTAGGAAATTAACATGTCTTTTGAACTCTGTCAGTATCTTTATTATGAGGATTATTACTATTGCACAGTTTTAAATGCTTGCCCCAACTATGTTTCTTCTCAAAGCCTTGTTATTTTTATTGCCTGATTTTTAATAAAATTTTTTTTGGGGGGGCCATGTGCTATGGCTCACACCTGTAATCCTAACACTTTGGAAGGCTCAGGAGGGAGACTCGCTTGAGGTCAGGAGTTTGAAACCAGCCTGAGCAAAAGTGAGACCCTGTCTCTACTAAAAATAGAAAAATCAGCTGGGCATGGTGGTGCGCGCCTGTAGTCCCAGCTACTTTGGGAAGCTGAGGCAGGGGATGATTTGAGCTCAGGAGTTTGAGGTTGCTGTGAGCTATGATGGCGCCACTGCACTCAGCCTAGGTGACAGAGCAAGACTCTGTCAAAAAAAAAAGGAACATGTTTATCCTATTATAGCAGAAAATACTTTAAAGTAATATTATAGCTTCAAAAAGTTATTAGTACTTGTGAAGAGCACATTGTTTACATCTTGAGGATCTGGCCTCATTTCTGAAATGCCTAAGAGATGCTGCCATAAACACCATGAATATTCACTGCTTCAGTTCACCGTCATGACACCTACAGCACCTTGCAAGACGGTCATTAGTGTCTTCACTTTGTAAGAGGTCTGAGCTGACACACCAACCTGTGCTGGCTACTTCCCCGGCTCCTAAAACAACAACCTATACCTATGGAGAACAGCACACAATCACCACCACTAAGAGCAAGTATTTGAATGCAGACTGGCATCTTCACGAGGAACCAGTGGGAAAGCCAGGCGAGGAACCATCACGCCCTGAGCCCCTGTATGGAGCAGGTGATGCTCCAAGTCTAGAGGACACGTGGTGCCAAACTGGTGGAGGCAGGGCAGACAGAGGGACCACCCGCACCTCGCACACTCCTCTCTAGACTCCAGGCCCGAAGGTCAGGAACAGCAGTTTGTTTAGAGACCCAAAGGCCTAACTCTTCACTACAGAATGACATCCCAAGCATCAGGTTTTACAGATCTCCTAGGAGAGAAAGGAGCATCTGAGAAGTGCCAAAAGAGACCTAGAGACGCTTGGTGATGGACTCAGGACCGGAAAGGCGTAGGTGGGCGAGTTGGAAATGCGTACACTGCTCTCTGGGGCTGCCAGATCTTCTCTTCAGAAGTCTCTTTCGGAAAGGGGTGACATTTCATTCCATTTCCATTCTGGCAAAGAGTTCGATTTCAGGCTTCAAACTTAATTTGCTAGACTGTGAGCAGAGCACAAGGCTCAGTCATCCTCTTTGGACCGTAACCTTCCTGCTCCTAATCCACAGCGGGTGTAATAAATAAACCCCGAGTGAGTAAATGTTCTAAAGGCCACTGGAAGTGTCTAAAGCCACAGCAGTTCTGAGAACGTTCCAGGGATCATGTCTTCTAACCGGAATCCGTCTGGGCCTCTCTCTCCTCCTTCTTCACCGCTTGCCTGTGGTTCAAAGCTCAGAAGAAAAGCGCCTCAGGAGGCCCTCACCTTCAGGAGCTGTGAGGAAGAGAGGGAGCAGTGTGACTTGGCCCTTCTCCGCTGCGGGTGGCTCCAAGGCTGGAGGCCAAGGCGGCCAAGCCAGGAAGGAGAGGCCCACTGGGAGGCGGGGAACTGGCGGCTCTGCCGCAAGATCCAAGAACTCCCACTTGTCTCCAATCCAGGGCCGAAATGAAAGGTTTCAGTTTTAAAAGTCGTCCAAGCTGAGCTTGCAGGCTGCCCACAATTAAGCATAAAAAGACGTCTGGTAGTACCAATTGTCGACGCTGTGGCGATTTGCCATAGAAAACCACAATGGGAAAACTCACTGACAGTGGGTTTAAAAAAAAAAAGTAATTTTCCTCAGTAAAATCTCCACTTTCATTTCTACTCCATAATTTTAAGGGTAATTGTTTTCAGGCATATAGGTAAATGGCATAGTCTTAGTAAAAGGCAATGTTCTACTGCATTTATTTATTTATTTTTTTAAATTCCAGGACAGGGCAGAGCATTCAGGTTAAAGAAAAACTTCAGGTCTGGAGTTAACCAAATGTAGGAAGGAGCCCAACTCTGCCACAGACCACGTGATCTGGGGCATCAGTGACCTTGTGGCACTTTCAGTTCCCACGTGGGTAAACCCTGGCACTGGCCTGCTCCCCACGGGGTTGGGGGGCCGTGCCCAAAGCACTCAGCCCAGTGCCTGACACATGTGGAGACTTGATGACATCATACAAGGACAGTCACTGAGGGTAAAGTTATTGACACACTTAACTCACATTTAAGTTACTTGTCTCTAACTTTTACCCAGTTAAGAGCAGAAAAAATTTAAATAACCAAGTCCTGGCAAGAACACCACAGTAAAAACTCAACCAGTCAGGGGTGGCCGGGGGCCAGGGGTTGAGGGCAGGGACTGACTACAAAGGGACTCAAGGGAACGGACTTGGGCCATGGGAATGTTCTAAGGACAGTCTGGGGAAGGGCGCAGCAGCACCAAGGAGAGGAAAGGCTTGTCTGGAGGCGCTAGTGCCGGGAGCATGAATAACATGCCCTGCTTACTCTACACACGTGGTGTTGGTCTGTGAGCCCCAGGGAGGGCTCTGAGGGAGCAGCTGAGTCGATCTGGTTATAATTAACCACCCTGCACCGGATGCAGGCCCCAGGGTGACATGTGCTCCTCAGCTCTCTGAGAAGAGAGAAGGCCAAGTTCAAACGGCTGCTACCACACAGCCCAAACCTAAGTCGACACAAATGTGCCCTTGTCTCTCAAACATCTTTTAAGTGTGCTTTCACATGGGAGCCATACTTTCCAAGTGTACAAATATGCCTTCAGAGTACAGTTAGTCATTTAACAGCTGGCACGGTAAGGGACATCTTTAAATAGGAAATACAAAAACCCTAACTGTCACTGCCACACCTTTGAATCTGGTCTTCTCTCCTCTCAGAGAGCTAAGGACCACCTGTCACCCTGGAAACCACATCCTGTGCTCGGTCTCATTTTCAGTCTTATACTCTGTTGCTCCCCCACCCCAAATCCTCAGTGCTACTCAACTCTTGCTGCTTCTCTCCCGACCAAAGCCCTGTGATGCCTGGGCTTCGGCACAAGCTGCTTCTTCTGCCTCGAACAGAGTGGCATGTCCTACCAGGACCATTTTCAAAAAAGTGGGGCATTTTGACAGGCTTGAAAAGCTACTTTAAAAAAAAGTTTAAGGTAATAGAATAAAAGGCACCCCAATTCCATCAGAATTGCAGTAGTCCTTCATTTTTAATTTATTAATTTTTAAAATGACAGACTTTTAGAAATATGTTTGATTCATGTAATTGCATCCCATTCCTTCCTCTTTTCCTACAATTACAGGAGGCTTTCTCCTTTATTCATTTCTGTATTATCTAAATTTTCCGTGTTACTTTTATACTTAGAAAAAGTAACCTTTTACAAATCTTCCTGAACGGGGCAGATGTGGTGAATGGACACTGGGCTGCCTTCCCGGTTTTGTGCAAGCAGCTGCAGCCCTGGCCCAGGACGGCAGTGGGACTCGGGAGGCTGATTCACTGGCAGGTCCTCCCACCCTCCCTAGTCAGGGACTGGTCAGGGATCCTCGCTGCAGTCAATCAAGGCAGGGCACTAGCACCCGTGACGGGCTATTGTTGTCCAGCAGTGAACTTAGGTCTTAAAACCGACCCATAAGCCTACCGGAAAGGACTTACATTCTATGGTTCTGAGAGAAGAGATAGGGTTGGGGGTGTCTGGGCTTTTCTCTGCCTATTAGAGGATGTTTATAGAGTTGAACAGAACTATTAGTCCTATTCCTCAATGGGATATTAAACCTGACATGCATCACTGAATGTACTCAAAGAATTGCCTGCTGTAACTGGATTTGCTATATAATCTGGCATTCTCAAAGATAATGAGAGATTGCACTGTGGTTAAAGTAGTATCTCCCCCTCCCTATAGAGTTTAATATATGTAAGTACGGATTAACTAATGTAAAATGTTAAGCACATAGCCCCTGTTTCCCAAGAGCTGGCCTGGAAGACAAGGGAGGAAGGCAAACAGTTGAAACGCTACAGTGATAAACACAGGACTAAGGTATAAAGGGGCCTCTAGAACACAGAAAGGGGATGATCAGGGAAGGCTACTTAAAAGAGGTAACCCCTGAGCTGAGACTTGACTTAAAATATGAATAACAGAGAAGTGAAGGGCGGGAAAGGGATCCAGGCAGAGAAGTGAGAAAGAATGCAGCAAACATAGGGGAAAGTTTTTTCAACAGATGGTGCTGGGACAACTGGAGAGCCACATGCAAATGGATGAAGTTGGACACTGACCTCTCATGATATACAAAAATTAACTCAAGTCAGATCAAAGACCTAAATGTTAGAGGTCAAACTAAAACTCTTAGGAGAAAACTCAAGATTAGGCAATGATTTCTTAGGTATAAAATCAAAAGCACAAGTGACAAAAGGAAAAATAAACTGGACTTCATCAAAATTAAAGACTTGTGTGCTGAAAATGGTATCATCAAGAAAGTGAAAAGACAACCACAGAGTGGCAGAAAGTACTTGCAAATTATATACCTGATACAGGGACCTGGTATCCAGAACACATAAAGAACTCATACAGCTCAGTAATAAAAGGTCAAATAGCCCAATTAAAAATTGGGCAAAGAATGTGAATAAACATTTCTCTGGAGAAGATGTATGAATGGCCAATGAGCACATGAAAAGATGTTCAACATCATCAGCTTTCATGGAAATGCAAATCAAAACCACCATGAGCGGCTGGGCTCACGCCTGTAATCCTAGCACTCTGGGAGGCCAAGGAGGGAGGATCACTCAAGATCAGGAGTTTGAGACCAGCCTGAGCAAGAGCAAGACCCCGACTCTACTAAAAAATAGAAAGAAATTAGTTGGACAACAAAATATATAGAAAAAATTATGTGGGCATGGTGGCACATGCCTGTAGTCCCAGCTACTCAGGAAGCTGAGGCAGAAGGATTGCTTGAGCCCAGGAGTTTGAGGTTGCTGTGAGCTAGGCTGACACCACTGCACTCTAGTCCAGGCAGCAGAACAAGACTCTGTCCCAAAGGAAAAAAAACAAAAAAAAAAAACCCATAAGCTATCACTTCACGTCTATCAGGATGGCTATAACAAAAAATGACAGATAATAATGCATGTTGGTGAGGAGGTAGAGAAGTTGGAACTCTCCTACATTGCTCCCAGGAATGTAAAATGATGCAACCATTTTGGAAAACAGTTTGGCAATTCTTCTAAAAGCTAAACATAGTTACTATGTGACTCAGCAATGATATTACTAAGGCATATTCCTAAAAGAACTGAAAACAGGTATTCAAACAGATACTTATACACACATATTCACAGCAGTATTATTCATAACAGTCAAAAGTGGAAACAACCCAAACGTCCACCCACTGATGAGCCTCAACCAAGGGCCTGCGAGGGGGTTAGTGTGTCTGAGACGGGCGGTGCTGAGACGGTGGGGGTGGCAAAGCAGGCTGGAGAGGCCGGGAGGAACCAAGTCACGCAGAGTTGCACAGGCCACACTCAGGAGCCTGGATGTTCTCCTGAAGCTAAGGGACAGACACCAGAGTTCAGGGAGAGGAGCAACACATCCGATTCAATTTTTAGAATCTGTGGCCACAGTGCGGCATGCCACGGTGGATGCAGGAGGCGGATGAGGAGGAGTCAAACTAGGACGACATACAAGAGCAGAGGATTCTGAAGGGCGACCCTGGCTCACTGCTCCTTTCCCTGCAATCCCAGAAGCCATATATGTTTATAAACACAGGCACCACTCAAATAACTCACACTTTAGATGGCAAGACGAGATGCTCCCATAAATGATTACAATACCCAACGGAGTCTGGCAAGTCTCTGAGGAGCTTTGAGGCACCCCTGAGGTTCAGACTGAAAGTCCTTGACACAAGAACCAGTGGTGCCGCAGGCAGAGGCGTTTCGAGAGTCTTCCAGCCGAGACAGCTGTACCCAGAATTCAGAACAGGGAAAGCCCCAGGCTGCAGACCCAGCCCACGTTTCCCAGCCAGGTACTGGCACACTGCAGAGAACCCCCAAATCTCAGGGCTGGAAGGGATCAGAAAGGCCCGGAACCACTCCCTGTTTGAGGCCTGAATTCCACCTACAGGCCCCCGTAAAGACTAACTACCACAACAACCAGAGCATTTGCTTGGCCACTGCAGGGACACACAGACTATCCCTGGTCTATCAACGCAGCTTAAGTTAAAAATGATCGCAAGCTGCCAGGCCACATTAATGCAGGTGTCACTGGCCGCACAGTGAAACTACTAAGTTGATTTCCCCCAAGGTATTACTAAAACACATCTTTTCCACCCTGTGCTTGTGAAATGGTGTGCTCGGCCCTTCCACAACAGAGCTCACCTCTCTGCTCAATGAACTCAGACTTTAGAACAATTATTTTGCAGCTGGTCAGAGGGTAATGAACAGGAAAAAGGGGATGTGTGGAGAAGTGCAGCAAAGAAAGGCAAGAGTTCACAGCTTATCAGTAAGTCATGCCAACTGCCATTATTCTGGGCCTTTCTCAGGAGATAAAAAACAGAGATGGGACATCTGAAACCTTATCCACGAGCGCCGTGAAGGGCCTTGGTATTGAAAGGGACCGGAGGGATGTCTGCAAGGCCAGACGGATGGGGAGGAAAGGGAAACCCAAGCAGAGGGCACTGGATACATCCTGCTCCACCAAAGCAGGGGTAAAATGAGAGGAGTCAGCGGGCAGATATACAGGAAGGAAGGCTCTGTGATCAGCAAGACCGAGACTCCCATAAATGATTACAATGCCCGACCGAGTCTGGAAAGTTTCTGAGGAGCTTTGACGCACCACTGAGGTTCAGGTTGGAGTGGTGAGAGTAAGTGTTTTCCCTTCTGTTTTCAAACTTTTCTTGCCATGTATTTGTAACACAATGGAGATGACATGACAGTTTAAGGGTACACATGGAGTGTTCTGCAGAGGCCAAGCTGTGCATTAAACTGAGCTCGTCATTTACTTGTTTACGCCTCTCTGTACTACAAAAAAGATGTGAGGCACAGTGAAGAATGTACAGATTAAAGCATAAACGTGTGAATAAAAATCAGGATTGGGGAGGCGCTTTGTGTATATTATCTTATTCAACTTTCAGGACTATCCTATTACTTAGATTCTTTCACAGCTGAAAAAACTGAGGCTCAAGACTAGTAACTTGCCTAAGGTTTTACTCTTATTAAGTAGCAATCAGATTTGAATCTAGGTTAAAAAAAAAAAAGTAAGCTCTTTCCTCTCTGTATGGTGCTGCCTATAACTCTTGGCTTCTCTGTGGATACTCCCCTACCCAGGCAGAGGGTGGACTGGTCAGGAGCTTGGACTCTGAAACCACATCACTGAGTGCAAGCCCTGACTCTACCACTTCCTGGAAAAATTATTTAATCTCCCTGCACCTCAGTTTCCCCAGCTGTGAGATGGGGATGATCATAGCACCTCCATTCCCGGAACTGTTATGAGGGTTAAATGAGTTAATATCGCTAACACACTTTTGGAACAGTTCTGGCACATAGTAAGCACTAAACTAGATTAACTAGCTAACTAAGCTAGAAGTGGACTTGTGTGAGTGGCTTACCCAGGCCACCATCTGTGAGCTGGGATGTGTCTCAGTCCCGAGGAGTAAATGACATAACACACGTGAAGGAGCAACCGTATGTGTCAGTCACCAATCCTACCGCGCTACCTTATCTACAACCATCTCTTCTTCCAGCCCGGGCTGAACATCACTGGATCATATAGCCACTCTAATCATCAATGAAATTAGCACTTAGTACGTCGATCGATTGAGAAACAAATATAAAGTAGAAGGAAAAAACCTTGAAATGCAATTTGAAACCATTAAAATTAAAAATGAAACACAAGAAGGACAAGTTATGATATTAAGAGAATTTCTTCCCTGTCTGTTTAACACGCACACGGGCAGCATCAGGGCAAATGAACTCCATGACCAACACGCTATAGTGTGTCAAGTGCAGCCCACAGCACCCCACAGCACGGCCGCAGTAAATGGGAGAAGTATACTGTAGGGTAGATGGGTCAGCAGTTGTTTTTTTAGAAGGGAGTGATATTTAGTTTTGGAGTGCTGAGATTGTGTTTCCCCCTCTGTTTTCAAACTTTCATTGCCGTTTATTTGCAACGCATTAGAGATGCTATGACAGTTTAAGTGTACGCTTGGAAATGTTTTCATTTAAACCATAACAATGGGAAATCTAACCTTTATGCGGTCAGGGTCCACATAATGCATTTTTTTCATATCGCATTCTTCAGAAGTATAGTTTAACTTGAGGGTATAAAAGATCCACACTCCAAACATAAGCAATAGAAACCTGGAAAAAAAAATCAATTAGGTATAATGATGGAGTCATGTGATAATCATTACGCATCATGTGAAATGAATGAAAATCGAACCCAAATCGAGTTTGCCTGCCATGAAGCATAAAAGTACTCTCTTAAAGTTGACCTCTGGGTGAAAGGAAGGTACCATTTCCTGTTTTCCTGACAAGATAAATTGGTCATTTATGACTGTCTTTGTCATAAGTGAATACTAAAAAACTTTTTTTTTTTTGCAAGGCACCATTATAAAATCTGAATCACAATGCCAATTATTGGACTTTAAAAAAACCAAGAAAGGAACCCGGCCCGGTGGCCCACGCCTGTAATCCTAGCACTCTGGGAGGCCAAGGTGGGAGGATCACTCAAGGTCAGGAGTTCAAAACCAGCCTGAGCAAGAGCAAGACCCCGTCTCTACTAAAAATAGAAAGAAATTAATTGGTCAACTAAAAACATATAGAAAAAATTAGCCGGGCATGGTGGTACATGCCTGTAGTCCCAGCTACTCGGGAGGCTGAGGCAGAAGGATTGCTTGAGCCCAGGAGTTTGAGGTTGCTGTGAGCTAGGCTGACGCCATGGCACTCTAGCCCAGGTAACGAGTAAGACTCTGTCTTGAACAATAGAATCCCAGATTCAGTGTTTTGTGACTTTAAAATAGCATCGGTCCTTTAAAAAAAGAAAAGAAAAACAAAAGAAATGATCTAGTCATCATACTTCTAAAGAATTCTACCCAGAATTGAGATTGACTGAAATGAGACAGTACCATTAGCTACCTTTAAGACCACCCAAAAAACATTTTTAAGATAATCCACGCTATTATGCAGTTTGACACACACAGAGGATTTGGAGAAAATACCTGAGTCTAGTCTTGGTTCTAGAAATCTCATTTTTAATAAGCTCTCAGTGACATTGACAAATTAAAAGTCCAAAAAAATAAACACCCCAGTTTAAACCAAAGTTTAAAAACCACTCCTTTAAATAATTCGTGTCCTTGAAAAAATAAAGGTAAGGAATAAGCTTAAGGGGAAAATAATCCATTTTCTAAAGAAAGGGGTAGCTTAAAAAAATATATAGCATCTAGAGTAATATACTGTATATAACAGATGTTAAATAGTTCTCGAGACTTGAGCTGATGATGCAAGACGTATTGCTGGAGTGTTTCCAAGACTTCTCAATTCTCACTCCAACAGGCTTCCCAGGAAAACCTGGACAAGCGTCTTCATTCTTCCCTGGGACTGAGTATAATGTTAAATGAACAAGATGGTATCCCTTGTGTGAAAAAGCAGGTTGGCGGGAAAACACATACAAAAATATTTCTCATCTACATAAAAACTGGTAACACTGGTTATCTTTAAGTGCGGAGGGGAAATGTGGGCAGCAAGGATGAGAACACGTTTCACTGAGTCCCTTTATAACTTTTTTTTTTTTTTTTGAGACAGAGTCTCACTTTGTTGCCCAGGCTAGAATGAATGCGGTGGTGTCAGCCTAGCTCACAGCAACCTCAGACTCCTGGGCTCAAGCAAGCCTCCTGCCTCAGCCTCCCGAGTGGCTGGGACTACAGGCATGTGCCACCAGGCCTGGCTAATTTTTTTCTATATATATATTAGTTGGCCAATTAATTTCTTTCTATTTATAGTAGAGACGGGGCCTCGCTCAGGCTGGTTTTGAACTCTTAACCTTGAGCAATCCACCCACCTCAGCCTCCCACCTTTATAACTTTTGAGTGTCTTGTGAACTTACTACTACCTACTCCCCTCTCCAGCCCTCAGCAATGGGGTCACGTTCAGTGGATATAATACTTCCCTTATTTTGACCAAAAAAAAAAAAAAAAAAAAAAGAAAAAGAAAAAGAAAGAAAGAAAGAAAGAAAAGAGTGTTAAAGGCAAGCCTGGAATCTACAGCATCTGGCACGGGTACTGTGATTCCTGGCGTGAGACTGCCTGGCCCACACCACAGGGACGGCACAGGGCCCTGGTCTCGCTTGTTGCGGCCGGCCCCCGACCCAATGTTGGGCACACCGCAGGCCTCAATAAATACGGGCTGATGACTGAAAGGGGACCGAATGCGATCCAAGTCTTTATTCATATAAATTTCCTTTTCTCACCTTTTTCCCCCTCTAAGTAAAGTGACATGGGAGACTAGATTTCAAGACTGGATTTCTACCTTTAGAAATGAAAAAAGGTAATTTTCAACTAAGCTTGGTATATATATATATATATATATTAAAAAAAACTTGACAAGTTCCTCCTTTATTAATTCTATCACTTACTAGGATATAAGTAAGGGTGACCTGGCTGAAACACCCTATCGTCCTTCTTTATTACTTAATATTTAATAGTATTCAAGTGCCTTCAGGGAAATTTAATTAACTATAGTTTAGATTAACTTAAAATAGCTCATGGAAAAGCTCTCTTTTGTTGAGTAATGGCATGACGAGCAGTGCCCTATAGGAGTTGCTCTCTCGGCCACCCAGGATGAGGCACAGGGGTGGCTCATTCTTACCAAATACACCTGGACACATGAACCCGCCCCACCTGCACACTGAATCCCAACTCGGACATGCCTTTGAATGATCCTTTGACCAAGTATGCCTCTCCAACATCAGCCACATTTAGGGCAATAATTGAATTTTTCTCCCAATTCTATACAGGTGACCCAAATCAGAGGGATCTTATGGCCCCAGGGGTGGTACTTACTTAAGGATCTTTTTTAACAACAAGCTGGGTCTTCTCATCTTGGTTTGAGCCCGGGTGTACCATTGCAGGGAAGGCCTTGAGCAATCACTTCCTTGCTTCACACAGTTATAGTCACTTGGCATTGCTGTGAAGAGAGGGGAAGAAGACGGGGAAAAACAGAGGGAAGAGTTAGGCGGATCATGTTTCTCAAAGAGCCTTTATGTGATGCATCCATACCATGGAATGCTACTTGGCAGTAAAAAGGAATGAAGTGATACACACAACAACTTGGATGAATCTATGAGAGAATTATGCTGAGCCGATACCGAAGGTTACATATTACATGATGATTCCTAACATTCTTGAAATGACAAAATTAAAGAAACGGAGAACAGGTTAGTGAGTGTCAGAGGTTATTGAGGAGGAGGCAGGTGTGGCTATAAAAAGGCAGCACACAGGACCCTTATGGTGATGGAAATGGTCTGCATCTAGCCTGTAACCAAGTCAATATCCCAACTGTGATATGGTACTATAGTTTTGCAAGATACTACCACTGGGGGAAAATGAGTAAAGAGTATATAAGATATGTCTAGATTATTTCTTACAACTGTATGTGAACCTATAATTATCCCCAAATAAGGTGATTTTTATATATATATATATATATTAAAAAAAGACCCTTGGGCTGGGCATGGTGGCTCATGCCTGCAATCCTAGCACTTTGGGAGACTGAGGTATGAGGATCTCTTGAAACCAGGAGTTCAAGACCAGCTTGGGCAGCATATTGAGACTGTCTCTACAAATAATAGAAAAATTGGCTGGGTGTGATGGTGTGTGCTTGTATTGCCAGCTACTCAGGAGGCGGAGGCAAGAGAACTGCTTGAGGCCAGGAGTTGGAGGCTAAAGTGAGCTATGATCATCCCATTGCACTCTAGCCTACATGACAGGTAAGACCCTAACAGGCGACTAGCTTTAAGCTAGTAACTGCCCAAGCTGAGACATGGGTATATGGGCTTCAATATGCAATTTCCTCCACTTTTGTGCATCTTTAAAATGTTCCATAATGAAATAGTTTATAAAGAAAGTGTTACATTAAAAGCAGTAGAAAAGTGTCACATTAAGAAAAAAAAGAAAATCAGAAATGGTATGGCAATTTTAAATGAAACTTTTCTTTAAAAAAATACATGTTCTTGGGTATACCTGCCTACTTACTCTTTTAAATTAATTTAAGTCTCAATTTTTCAAATTCTAAATAATATTCTAAGGGTATTATAAGTAGAAATTGGTATGTCTCCCTCCATATTAGTTTCCCTCTTCCTCTCAACTTATTAGAACACTAGATTTTCAAGGTGGCACGTGGCCTCCCAGAATAAAGACTACATTTCCCAGCCTCCCTTGGACCTAGGTATGGCCTCATGACTAAGTTCTAGCCAATGGGATATGAGCAGAAGCATCCTGCGAAACTTCCAGGGCGCATCCCTTGGCATACTCCTGGCTTTTCTTCATCCCCCTTCCTCCTAGCTGAAATACAGAAACGTGATGAGCAACTTCAGACCACACAGAGAGGATATTACCCAAGGATAGTGGAACAAGAGAGAAGACTACTGGGTCTCTGGCACAACCCAATAGGACAGAGCTGCTATTCCATCTCTGGACTGTTCTATTTTAGAGGAATAAACTTCTATCTAGGTTAAGCAATTGTTAATTAAAAGCAAAGTCATATCTCAACTAACACAGGCATCAATTACTTAAAAAAAATTTTTTTTTAATTATTTATTTTTTGAAACAGAGTTTCACTCTGTTGCCCTGGGCTAGAGTACAGTGGTATTGTCATAGCTCACCGCAACCTCAAACTCCTGGGCTGAAGTGATCCTCCTGCCTCTGCCTCCCAAGCAGCTGGGACTACAGGCCCTCACCAGGAGGCCCAGCTAATTTTTCTATTTTAGTAGAGACGGGGGTCTCGCTCTTGCTCAGGCTGGTCTCGAATTCCTGACCTCAAGCAATTCTCTTGCCTTGGCCTCCCGGAGTATTAGGATTACCAGTGTGAGCCACCATACCTGGCTGGCACCAATTACTTTTATGATAAATTTCTATATTAATTTAAGAAATGATGTCTTCATTGTATTTAGTCTTTCAGTCAGAGGAAGAAGTTATATCTCATTATGCATTAGGTTTTTGTCTTTTTTCCGTTAGGTTTTTGTCTTTTTTTTTTTTTTAATCTTAATCTCAAACTAAACAGACCTTCAAGTATTTCTTTTTCGGCTACCATACACAATCTCTCAACTCCAGTTCTAACTGCGTAGCAAGAATTTTATCAATTCTAAAGAATTTTTATTGCTATGTTTCTATTTGAATAGTTTAAAAAAAATAAGCTTCAAAAAGTAGTTTCAAAAAGGCCAAGGCTCTTATTAATAAACCTTTGCTGAAGAATCTACTGAAATCTTAAATGAAGTTAGGACAACCAAGACCCTGGAAGGTTCTCAAACACAACTCTGTCATTTTCTAATGTATGGTCAGCCACGTGGCAGGAACCAGCAGGCTACCTATGGCCAGTGCATATATAAATCGGACATTTCGAGGATAACCAGGATGACACAGTTCACACCAAAGTGGACCTCCAGAGAACAAAGCTGACCGTGGCGAGAGCATGAGAAAGAATCTGTTGTGTGCAAGACAGCGCTCTGGCTCTCAGCTCTACTCTGCCCCTCTGGCTATAAGCCTGTAAACTACATTTCCCAGGCTCTGTCTTGCCAGCTGCTCCCTGTTGTGATCCGAGGATGTGCTGGTGAAAGACTAGAAGAGGGAAGAAGTCATCTTTCCATTCCCCAACTTGCTGAAGCGTCTGACGGGAGCAGAAATAGCAGAGGCAATGGAGGGTGCCTACCTGTGACTCCAGCAGCATCGGTGGCATTTCTAGCAACTCTGTGACAAGTATAAGTTTCAGCCAAGACAATGGCTTCCTGACGCCCACGTCCAGCTCACTGATGCAGCCCCCCACCCACGCTCAGAACTGTACATCTGACGACCTGTTTGCTACCTTCATCTCAAGCAACATTCCTAAGCAGAATATTTCTCTCTATTCTTTACATTGTCATACCATCTGCTCAGCCATTCAAACCAAAACCCTGCAAATTAACCCCAGACTTTCATTCTCAACCCCAATCAATCCCCAGGACCTGTCAATACTACTTCTGAATTTCCCCTGCCCACTGCACTCCTTTAGTAGCACTTACCTGTCTCAGTTTCATCTCCTCGAAGCCACCTTTCTAAAATATTTATCTGCTTAATGGCTCCCAGGTCATCTCAGGTTCTGTCACTCCATGTGACAAACTTGTCTGTCACACTTCACAAATAAATGCTGTTAGAAACCTAGAAACTGTGCCAGACAGTTGCCTCAGTGCCTTTGCAGAGTCTGGAATCCCACTGCCACAATCTGCCTGGTGAACTACTTTTCATCCTTAAACCTTGCTCAAGCATCTCTTTCTTTCCCTACAAGGTCATTTTCCAACATCCAATCCCTGGGCATTTCCCTATCTCTATTTAACCACATGAACTGAAATTTTTCTGCAAATTCCTGGAGGGCTGAGCTGCAAGGGCCAGGACTCTGCTCACCTTTGCATGTGTAACACCCAGGACAAAGGACGGCACACAGCAGGCCTTTAAGAAACATCTCAAACGGAACGGAATGTGCATGACAAGTCTGTGTCCTGTCATCGAACAAGATAAACTCCCCCCCCTAAAGAGCATTTTCTCCATACTGGTTCAGACTGAAGCCAAAATTGAACATTAACAGAAATTACGATGGCAAGAATAAAGTGTAAATCCAACAAGCCTTCTAAAATGTCAACGATGGGAAATTTGTTGGTAAATTCTGGCACAAACCACATGAATACTCTGCAGTCATTAAAATCTTGCTACACAGTGTGGTCTCTGGACAGCAGCATCAGTGTCACCCGAGAGAAGGTCAGAGATGCGGAGCCTCAGGCCCCACCCAGGCACCACTGACTCAGAATCTGCATTTTAATGAGATCCTCAGGGGATTCAAAGGCATATTAAAATTTGAGAAGCACCAGCTTAAAGTACTGGGTACATACATTCACTGACAGAAAGTTTTGTAAAAATGTATGCATAAATATATGTGTAGTCATGTTCTGGGATATACCATGTTTCCCTGAAAATAAGATACAGTCTTATATTTCTTTTCCTCAAGAAGACACCCTAGTGCTTATTTTCAGGGGATGTGTTATTTTTTTTTAAGTATGGTACAACAATCTACATTTATTCAAATATAGTTAAGTCGTCTTCTTCTGGAACATCATCATAACTCTCCAAACCCAGAATTCCATCCTGAATTTCTTGTGACTTTATTTCCTTTAGAACCATTGGCCCCAATCTCTCATGTCGAGCAATAGAGCTGTCATGGGGCAGATAAGAAGGGCTGCTTGTCTTCTTTACCGCTCTGCGACGAAATGCATGGGTTGTGCAGATACACTGCGTAGCCACGCCCATCACTAGGTCTTATTTTCATGGTAGAGCTTATATTGCGCAAATGCTTAGAAATCCTGCTAGGGCTTACTTTATGGGTAGGTCTTATTTTCGGGGAAACCCAGTACCTATTTATGAGAACTCAACTTCCCAGGAGTTTCCTCAAACCCCCCTAACTTGGACTCAGTAGTATTTATTTCTTCTGATTTACAAGGGACCATTTGGATTCCATGCCCCTCAACATCACAAAAGGACAGCCAACCTGGGTCACCTTCACAGACCTACAACTGACAAACAGTGAGGTGGCCTTAAGATGCTCCCTTGGACAGCCCGGCCTGGGGTTAATCATGATCACCTCCACACCATCTGCACTGTTTTCATTCATTTCTTTTGTCCTTAATGTTCTGTTTAGTGGAGAAGAGACTGAAATTAAAGGTTCAATCGTATAAACACTGAATCAGGGGCATGCTTTCTTAACTGTTGGAATAACTGTGTGCCATAAATTTCAGTGGCAATTATACTTGTGACTAACAAAAATGATCAGAATGTAGAGAAAAATTGTCTATGTAGGCATAAGTAATTATAGGTATAAGGACATCTGGAAGAAGGCACACCTATGTTATGTTATCAACAGGTGGTGCAATTTTGAGTTTCTCTTTT